CTTAACATTATAACTGATATGCTTTATGAGACAGCTGGCTAATTTCAGGGGCAGCTAGGTGGCGCAGTGGATAGAGCACCGGCCCTAAAGTCAGGAGGACCTGAGTTCAAATTCGGCCTCAGACCAAACACTTAACCCTTATTAACTGTGTGACCCTGGGCAAGTCACTTAACCCCAACTGCCTAAGAATAAAAAGAAAAAGAAAAAAAAAGAAAAGAAAAAAAAGTTAGGAATGAAGCCCATGGCCATCCAGCAGTTGACCTTCTCAGATGGGTATTAAATCTATGCCCAAGCCCTTATCAACTGCATTAGGATCATTCCTGATCCCTTCCCTGATTTTTCTTTTATTTTCTTTCTCTCTCTCTCTCTCTCTCTCTCTCTTTCTTTCCTTTCTTTCTTTCTTTCTTTCTTTCTTTCTTTCTTTCTTTCTTTCTTTCTTTCTTTCTTTCTTTCTTTCTTTCCTTCCTTTCTTTCCTTCCTTTCTTTCTCTTTCTTTCTTTCTTTCTTTCTTTCCTTTCTTTCCTTCTTTCTTTCTTTCTTTCTTTCTTTCTTTCTTTCTTTCTTTCTTTCTTTCTTTCTTTCTTTCTTTCTTTCTTTCTTTCTTTCTTTCTTTCTTTCCAAAGCAATCGGGGTTAAGTGACTTGCCCAGGGTCACATAGCTAGCGAGTATCATGTGTCTGAGACCAGATTTGAACTCAGGTCCTCCTGACTCCAGGACCAGTACTCTATCCACAGTGCCACCAAGCTGCCCCCACTTTCCTGATTTTTTGAGGAAATTTGTCTTCCCTTCCTTTTCCTTGATGTAGCGCTCGTAGCTCCACACGTCCTCCTTGTCCAACAGGGTATCATCTGCAGGCTCTCTTCAATCATCTTAAATAGCAGCAGGACCATGGAAGACCCCTGAAGATCACTTCTCATTCTACCCAACTGCAGACACCTGTTTTTTACCTGCTTGTTTGTTTCTCCTGGGCCTGGGTTGAAGAACTCAAGAGGAGATGCTGCTGAGATTGTAACAGATCACAAAGACAAAGGGAAGAAGGAACAGTTTGAAAGGCTGAATGACGAGATCATTCAGGAGGCCTGTCTGGAGCGGCGTGCTATGATTTAGTGAAAAGAAAACTAAATCCATGTCCATCATCCATCTTGCTAAAACGTCATGTGGAGTACAATTCTAGAAGTGAGGAAGCCTGACGGGAAAGCTGATAAATCACCTGCCAGGATGCTTTGTCTCTGATTTAAGAGCTGTGTAATGCTGCAGAGGAATCAAGCTCTGGCCCACTGAACCTGCCATGCCATGGAGGAAGCAATGCGTTAACTGAGCAAAAGAATGACTCCACACATGCCACACCCTGTGTACCTGAACTCTATAGAGGTGGGGAAGAGGGTTGAACAAGCCAGAATTTCAGTTTGTCAGATACAAGAGTCCCTTTGGATTAAGCCCTGACTTTGTGATTAGTATAAGGGAATGAAAAATCCTTGTCTGTATTCAGAAAAAACATAGATATTACTATTGAACCATTGCTGAAAGATTCTATTTTCCTTTGGATAATTAAGTTACTTGTGATGCAGGGGGAAAGGAAAGGAATAAGCTTTTATATATCACTTATTGGGAAGCTGGGTGGTGCAGCGGATACAGCTCTAGGCCTAGAGTCAGGAAAACCCGAGTTCAAATCCAGCCTCGGCTGTGTGACCCTGGTCAAGTTACTTAACTCAGTATACCTCAGTTTCCTCATCTGTAAAAGGAATTCAAGAAGGAAACAGCAAATCACTTTAGTATCTTTGCCAAGAAAGCCCCAAAATGGGCTCATGAAGAGTTGAATATGATTGAAAACAACTATACAACAGCAGCATAGTGCTTATTATGCGCCAAGCACTGTGCACTATTTACAAGTATTATCTCATTTGATCCTCACAGCAACCCTGTGAGTGCTGTTATTATTCCCTTTTTACATTTGAGAAAGCTGAGGTAAACGGAGGTTAAGTGACCTGCTCAGGGTCACAGAGCTACTGAGAATATGAGACTGGATTTGAACTCAAGTCTTCCTGACTTCAGGCCCAGCACTTTTTCATTGTACCACCTAGAGGGACAGAGAGTCAGTACTCGAAGTCAGGAGGTTCTGGGTTCAAGTCCCGTCTGATACATACTGGCTATGCAACCCTGGACAAGTGAGTTAACCTTTCAGTGCCCATGCAACTCCCTAAGACTACAAACTGCACACCAGGTACTGATTTACATTCACGTCTTTCAGTCATGTCAGACTCTTTGTGACCCCTTTTTGGGTTGTTTTTTTTGTTTTGTTTTTTTGGTAAAGATACTAGAATGCTTTGCCATTTCCTTCTCTAGCTCATTTTTACAGATGAGGAAACTGAGGCAAACAAGTTTAAGTGACTTGCCCTGGGTCACACAGCTAGTAAGTGTCTAAAGCTGCATTTGAACTCAGGTCTTCCTGACTCCAGGCCCAGCACTCTATCTATTACTGCGCCACCCAGATGATTTGCATTAATAGAAGAGATTTTCTTCATTTGGAGTTCCCTTTACCAATTAAATCACAGATCTAATAAAGAAAAAATCAAGTATTAAATTGTCACTAGAAATATTTCTCTCTCTCTCTCTCTCTTTTTTTTTTTTTTTAGGCAATTGGGGTTAAGTGACTTGCCCAGGGTCACACTGCTAGTAAGTGTTAAGTGTTTGGTCTGAGGCCAGATTTGAACTCAGGTCCTCCTAACTTCAGGGCTGGTGCTCTACCCACTGCACCACCTTGCTGCGCCTAGAAATATTTCTTAAAGAGCTATTCTGCTCAAGAACGTAAAACACATCCACACACGCATAAAGGAAGGACTATCCTCTACCTTCTCTACAATGAAAGCACTGACATTTTACTAAGCAAACCACATGGGCTTCTCTTCTTTTTTTGTTGGTGGTGGTCATGGTCATGACCTATGATTTCACGGCTCTAGGAAACTCCCTTCACGCAGATCAGGAATTGGTTTATAACTTACTGCCTTGGCCTGTTGCCCCCGTGCACTGGAGGTGACGTAACTCGCTTGTGGTCCCAGATTCATCAGCTGCAGGCCTTGAATCCAGGCCTTCCTGACTCCAAGGCTGACCCCCTGGCCACTCTGCTACCCTGTCTCTTTTGGCACTTCAACTGCGTCAGTTTTTCTACACAGAGGCTGGTATTCAGTCAATTATCAAGTGCTTAGGTCTGCTCATGTAACTTGTGAATAATGGGGGTGTCTTCTCTTGACATACACATCAACCTCAGTGCTACTGAGTTGGACAAAGAAAGGAAATGGTTGAACTAATTTACTCATTCAGCAAACATTTATTAAGCAACTGTTGCGGGCAAGGTACTAAGCTAAGTTCAGAGGATACACAAAGGCAAAAATGAAATGTTTCCTGCCCTAAATGAGGTTACATTCTACTGAAACCAGTTAGCATTGTTATTATTTCTGGTTAAAGGCTTTAGCAAGAAAGAGGGTTGAAATAATTTTATTTCAGTTTTCGTGACCCCATTTGGTGTTTTCTTGGCACAATTACTACAGTGGTTTGCCATTTCCCTCTCCAGCTTATTTTTTACAGATGAGGAAACTGAGGCAAACAAGATTAAGTGAACTGCGCAGCGTCACACAGCTGGTAAGTGTCTGAGGCCAGATGTGAACTGATAAAACTGAGTATTAGGGTATAGATGTTAGCTATATATGCTAAGTTTGCCATCCATTATGACATATCTGAGAGCTAGTTCTCTTTTCTATAGAGAACTTACACAAGAAAAAAACCCAAAGTTAAAGCTTTTGGACTTTTTTTTTTGGAGGGAGGAAAGGAGTGGAAGGTGGGCAGTTGAGGAGGTGGGAGTATTATAAAAGGTTATGCAAAGAGTTCTAACCAGTCAGCTCTAGACTTGTCATCAAAAAGGCTTGGGTTTGAATCTGGTTTAATGTGTGGTTATGGGCAAATAACTTAAGTTCTTTCAGTCTCGGTTTCCTAACCTGTACAATGGGGATAATGATACCTACCTCACAGGGTTGTTATAAAGTTCAAATAAGCTTATGTACACAAAACATTTCGCAAACCTTAATACACTATATAAATGCCAATTATTATTATCATTATTAGTGAAGGAAGGAACCCAAGTGATTGATATCTAATTTTACAGGCCTATTTAAAATGTTCCACTTTTGCTTCTTTAAATCAACCATGAAGTTGGCTAGCTCAGTTTCTTATCAGGGGAGACTTCACACGGCATTACTGATTGGTTGGTTTTTCTTTCTCCAAGAGGACCAAAATGACATCGCTATGTTAGGGTCAAGTTACAGTGTGTCTGACTGTGGCTGATCAGACCAGTATGAGCTTGGAATGCTCTACCACAGGTTGGGTACAAATATTTCACAGGAACAATTGGGGTGGATTCTCTAAAATTGTGCTTTTTGTTTCTTTTGAGCTAGTTCAATTCTGCTTTGCTCATACATCACAGCGCCTTCTTTGATGTGGGTATGCCATGCTGGGTGGTCCTTTGCCAGCATCTCCCATGTCACACAATCAATTCCAAAGTGGCACTATCTCGACCTCCATAAATGACAGACTAGATGCCATAAAGTATAAACAGAAAAGTCAAGATGGTCTATAATCTACCTGAAAACAATGGTTAAGTTCTAAGCTTGGTAGCTACCCAAGTATCACACGGACCACACCACAGCTAAAGACAGACAGACTCAATTGGGTACGAGTGATGCTGAGAACAAACATTTCTATTTCATCCCAACGCATTGTGATACCAGGTTCCACCTCTTAAACTTTCCCACATACTATAACTGGACACCATTGGCTACCCTTGTATGCTCAGTTACACTTGATTGAGAACCTTCCTCACCTATGATTCCCTAATAGAATGAATAACTTGGCTCCCAGGAAATTGTTTCAGTCATTAAAAAAACCAAATAAGACAAGACATCCCAAGTCCCTCTAACAATATGTTCCAGTTTTGGACTACAGAGCTCACCTTTCCAAAGAAATGTTGAGTAGACACAGCAAACACTTCAAAGCCTTGAATGGCCCTTTTCAGTTCTCCCTGAACATAGCTGAGCTGCTTGGATTGATCTTCACACTTTTCCTTCAGTCGCTGAACAAATTGTCTTTCTGCCTCCCGGGCCTGTAGATCTGGTTTGGTGGCAAACCCATTTCTTGGAACAGCAGCCCTTTGTTTTGGGTATCCTGTAAGGAAAAACACATGAAATAAGGTTTGACAAACGTAAGGCATCCAGGTGGTATAGCGCCTAGAGCACTTATCTTGGAGTCATGATAGATTCGAGTTAAAATCCTGCCTCAGATACTAACTCTTAAGAGTTTAACTTTTTAACTTAAAACCTTTTCAGCCTCAGTTTTCTTATATGTAAAATAGGGATGATAATGCCACCTACCTCAGTGTTTTTGTGAGGATCAAAGGCAATGATATATAGGAAGCATTTGTCAACATTTAAAAGCTTTATGCAAATGCTATGATGATGTGACAATGATGATGATGCTACCTTTGACTAATACTTTAGGGTTTAAAGAGCATTCTTCTCTAATATGGTCTAGGTTCAGTTACCTGAGGGGCTAATGAGGTAGGAAGAAGAAATTTATGATTTTTTAAAATTTAATTTACTAAAAAAAACAACCAAAAGTGACTCAAAGTATTCCCCTCATCTTTGAGCTTCTATATCTTTATCTTTGGGGCAGAAGTATACAAGAATAAGTAGGGCACCAAATTCACCACATTTCCCCTGTACCTTTTCCAGGGCTATTTAGAGAACCCCCTTCAAGGTCAGGAGAACTTTTCTTTGGGACAGAGGAAAGGTGGAATTTGAACTAAGAATAATCTTGATTCTGGCATCTGAATATGCTAGAACAAAAAAAGTAGACTGTGAGCTTCCTGAGGGCAGGGATGGATTTTTGTTTTAAATTATGTCCCCAACTTTCTTCCTTTGGTCAGAAATTGCAGGATTAAGTAGATATGCAAACTTTTTTTTTTCCCATCCAACAGGCCCCTTGAAGATTTCAAAACCTGAGATACCGATTTTCAATGTACAGGATGGGCCAAGTCCTCTATTTTCTCCAAACATACCAATTCTAAATTTTACCTACTATATTTAGATAGTAGGTACTTAAAAAGTGCATACTGAACTAAGGGAAATAATATTTTTGAATAGTCCAATTTATCCACAAACCAGAGCTTCTATACGTGTACTTATTATTCCAAGTGCTTAGCACAGTGCTTGTCATACAGTAAGCACTTAATAAATCCGTGCTGAATGAATGAATGAATTCTTGCTTCTTTTATTGTAAATGCTACTGATTAGAGCCAGTTGTTAAATCGATTATTGACTCTATCACCAATACTCTTTCCACTTCTGTAAAATTCCCATTTTTAATGAAAAATGAAACTTTCACACAAGTATAAATATATACACACACACATTATCTATCTATCTATCTATCTATCTATCTATCTATCTATCTATCTATGAAGGTGATTATTTATATGTGGATGAGCCCCCAACTACTTCTAAGATAAAATGCAGACTCTTCTATTTGGAATAAAAAGCATTTCACAATTTGTTTCCAACTTACCTTTGCTGATTATATATTACACCCTCTCTGTATTCTATTATCCAGCCAAACCCGCCTTCTTAACATCTCCTCTACACAACATTCCATTAATTCTTTTTCTGCGCAGGGCCGCCCCTCCATGCCTGGAATACTTTCCCTCCTCTCTGACTCTTGGAAACTCTAGCCACCTTCACAAGGCTCAGCTCAAGCACCCGTCCCACAAGAGAACTTTCCTGATTTTCCCAGTTCTCACCGCTCTCCTCACAAAATTACTTTGTATATATTTTGTAGACAGCTTTCATTTATCTATCTGTGTACATGTTATTTCCTCCCAAGACAATGTAGGCTCTTTGAAGGCAGGGTAGTGTCTTGTTTTTGTCTTTAAGTCCCTGGTGCCTAACACCACTCTGGGCACAAAGTAGAACTTCATAAAGGCTTACTGAATTGAGTTTTGCAGGGCAGCATCTGACAACAGTATCTGGAACAGAAACAGTGTCTGCAATTTCAAGCAGAGAGCTCAAATGCAAAGCCTTATTTTAAAAAGAACAAACTAATAAACAACAACAACAACAAAAAATTCTCTTGTCCTCAATTATGCACCATCCTCAGAGTGTAGTATGTAGGCTAGAGAAATGTATCCAAGATTCTTCCTGCATATTGATATTCTAGGTGAAAGTTTCAGATCAGTCATTTCAATGTGGGGGAATTCACTTTCCCCAAATTCCCAGAATTACAGAATTTCAAAGGTAGAGAGGAACTTGGGGACCATTTAGTCCAGCCTATACCCAAACCTTACTGTTCTACAACATCTCTGACAAGAGGTCACCGAGCCTTTTCCCACCTACCCTTATTTGGAGGCATCCCAAAATACTCACTCCTTTTTGCTTTTGTCCCTAACTCTCTATTCTCTGCAAATACACCAGATAGTAGATGGGTAACTGAACCCAGATCTGAACTGGAGTTGTTGATCAACCATCTTTGCAGTATGGTGTTAGGATACCTTTCTCTTTTCCACTTATATAAATGCTATTGCTCCTTTAAGGTCCAGCTCAATCCCATCTCCTCCAAGAAGACTTTCCTGACTTCCACATACCTGGACCCACAGGAATTTCTATCTCACCCTCCTATGAGTTCCTTGAGTACTAATTGTACCACTTATTTTCCACTTGGCATATGTTGCAATGTACTGTTAGGTATCTTTTTATGGACATACCTGTCCTCTAGCCCACTTTCTTGCAGGGCATCCTGCATCATAGCATGTAGTTAGTAAGCTGTCTGCTATTGATAATGATCAGAATGAACAGAGCCCTAAACTTAAAACTCACACTTATAAGATAAATATTGTTCTGTACCTAAGTAGATCAGACACCAGCAGAAACAACACAGACACCAATAGCATAATAATCAGCTATACTGTGGCAAATATCTGCCCCCTCCTCTTTCTTTTCCTGTGCTCTTTTCTCTATAATGTGTACCTGTATGTGTGTGTGTGTTCAGGATATAAGACAAAGATAGGTGGGGGGAAGGGAGTAACTGGATGACCGAGTAAGCAGAGAAAACATCCCCACCATGTCTTGACTAGGGAATATATTCCACTGATGAGAATACCCAAGTGGCGTCATACTTTAAAGAAAACAATGACTTAATTGATCCAAGCACACTTCTGCTTGTTGATTTAATGATAACTACATGCTGACTTTAATTAAATGCTTCCCCTTCTTCTTCTAAAAGAAAAACAAAAGTCCACCAGAGATTTCTTTCTTGAGTTAAGAGTCAATAGGTTGAAATGGTTCCTCACACCCTGCGTGCCTCAGATTATTTCAATGCCAGGAAGGCAGAGTCAGGAATTCCTGCTGCCTGCATATAGGCGAGGAAGGTCAGATTCTAGAGAAATCACTCATGTCTGATACAAACGAATTTTAATGTTAATTATTACATTTTAATTCTTCCAGAGACGCTGATTAGTGCAGGAAAAAAAGCAGCTTGAGAGGAAACATTTTATTGTCTGCGCTGAGCTCCAAGGCATGATGTCAGATTAGTGCTTCATTGGGGTTACTCCAAGAGGGCAGCAATGTACTGGTTGCCGGCATTTATCCCCAAGGAAATATTTTTGCTTTGATGACTATGGTTTGCCATTTGATTATTGTTATGGTGCTTTTAAAAGTACTTGAGTGTTTTAATTAATCTAATTAATTTGTACCAGCTGCCTAAGGTCCTGATAATGAAGAACACATCTCTTTTGAAATATGAAGAAAATATAATTGAGTCATTTCAGTTATGTCCAACTCTATGTGACCCCAGTTGGAGTTTTCTTGGCAGAGATCCTGGAGGGGTTTACCATTCCTTTCTCCAGCTCATTTTACAGATGCTGAAACCAAGGCAAACAGGGTTAAGTGACTCGCCCAAGGTCACACGGCTAGTAAGTGTCAAAGGCTGCATTCGAACTCACGAAAATGAGTCTTTCTGACTCCAACTCAGTGCTCTATCCCCTGAGCCACCTAGCTGCCCGAAAGGAAAATATAAAGGAAATAATAAAACCTGATTTGAGCTCAGTGCATTTAAGCTAACTGACATCCCTGGCAGATATTGTCATCTTTGGGCTTTAGTAGGTTAAAAAACACAAACACAGTGGGTGTTTTATTCATTGAATTTACTTCTTTTTAGTGGATGGAAGAACAAGAAATAGTCAATTTCCCCTTCTTTAATAGGTACGAACACTATACAGTAGGAGTGGATGACCTGGATAACTTTGGATAAACTGTTTCCTTGGCTACCAAGGTATTTCCTTTGACAACAGGGTCATTACGCTCCTCTGATTGGGAAAACCACGTTTAGCCCTTTACTTTGACACCTATTGTACATCAGGTCCACATTTCACCTCCTGCGTAAAAACACAGTTTAAGATCAACTTCTACATTCTAAATACCAGGCTGTGGACACCACACAAACACAGCAGCCTTCTGAGAGTTTTAATTGCTTGGAGTTTCTTTCTGGCTAGAATCTGGAAGGAGAGACTTTCTTAGGGTATTTTAGAGGTCATGCAACAATATTTAAATTTAAATAATAACATATTTCCATAGCATTTTCAAGCTTAGGATCATAGATCTCCAGAGCTGGAAATAACCTCATAGGTCACTGAGTTCAACCACCTTATCTTACAGATGAGGAAACTGAGGCCCAGGGAGACTAAATGACTTATTTATTTAAGGTCACACAGCTAGTACATTATCAAGAGGTGGGTTTGAATCTAGCTTCTCTGATTCCAGTCACTGCCTTTCATCCTACCTCAGGACACTATGACTTGGGGAGTATGTTATCTTCATTTTACAGACAGGGAAGTTGAGACTTTGGAGGTTCAGTGACTTCAGTTGAACAAGTAGAAGTTTTAGAACAGGAATTCAGCAAAAGGCCTCTATATTATTTTCCACCAAATCACATTGTTTCTGCTTAGGAAATAAGATTTTAGAAATGGGACTAGGGTAATTCAGGGCTTGATGTTGTAGTACCTTTTCTATTCTCCTTCAGGCAGAAAGGCTTTTGAAATTTGTTTTTCCAAATAAAATACACCCTTATCTCTGACTGGTCAGTATTCTTGCTAACAAGCTTTTAGTAAGACACTACCA